ATTAAGGCTTCTGTGTTCTTTTGAATCCGCTAAGTAGATGTGCAAAGATCCCTGCAACACGGCCAAACAAAGTGCCCCTGATCATTAATGTGCTTAAGGGGCTTCTGAGAGACAACCTCTGGTTCATGTTTTCTGTGACTCCTTTTAAACTCTCAAAGCTGTCCTGGGAGACTTGGCTGGCGGTAGGAGTGGGTACGGGAGGAGGGGAGGGACGCGGGGATGCACGCCTGTGATCCTAATACTTGGAAGGTGGAGGAAGAAGGCTCAGAAGTTCAAAGCCAACCTCCTCTCCAAAGTAAGTTCCAGGCCAGCTGGGGTTCCCTGAGATCTTATCTCAAAAACAAAAGCAAAAGAGAAAACCGGGAAAGCTGCCCCAGGGTGGTAGAGAAGACGGCCTCCGGCCGGGATTTTGACTAGGCGGCGGCGGTGGCGCTGGGTGAGGGAGGCGCCACCCGTGCCTCAGTTTCCCCGTGTGGGGCCTGGAAGCACCGCCCTCTGATGTGGCGGGGAGGGCCAGGCGGCCGCCAGGGGGCGCGAGGAGTAGCGGGGTGGGCGGTGGCTGGAGCTGCACTGGAGGCTAGGAGGGAGGGAGGCGGGGCGGTGTGCCGAGTCACCTGGGATCAGGCCAGGCCAAGGGAGAGCAGGTCAGGGCGCCGGGCGCCCCCCCCCGCTCTGCGTGGCCGCCCGGGGTTGGGGCACAGCGGGGCCTCGCACCTCCGCGGGCGTCCCTGGAGCCCGACCAGCGCTTGGCTGGGGGTGTCAGGCGGGCTCTGTCCCTGCACCGCGGTTGACGTGCCCGGGCCAGGCCCGCGGGGACCATGTCATTGCCAGGCTCGCCGGGGTGTTAGGGCCAGGCACGCGGGGGGCCGTGCCAGGGCCGTGGGGGCGTGCCAGTGGCAGGCTGGTGGTTGACATATCAGGGCTAGGCCCGCGGGGGGCGTGCCAGGTCCGTGGGGGGCGTGCCAGTGGGAGGCTCGCGGTTGACGTGCCAGGGCCAGGCCCGCGGGGGAGCGTGCCAGGATCGTGGGCGGCGTGCCAGTGGGCGCTCGCGGTTGACGTGCCAGGGCCATGCCCAGGGGGCCATGTCAGTGCCAGGCCCGCGGGGCAGCGTGTTAGGGCCAGTCCCCCGGGGGGGCCTTCCAGGTCCGTTGGGGCCTTTCCAGGGCCAGGCCCGTGGGGGGCGTGCCAGGTTCTTGGGGGGGCGTGCCAGTGGCAGGCTCGCGGTTGACGTCCCAGGGCCAGGCCCGCGGGGGGCGTGTTAGGGTCAGGCCCGCGGGGGGCGTGCCAGGTCCATGGGGGGCGTGCCAGGTCCTTGGGGGCCGTGCCAGGTCCGTGGGGGGCGTGCCAGTGGCAGGCTCGCGGTTGACGGGCCAGGGCCAGGCCCGTGGGGACTATGTCAGTGCCAGGCCGCGGGGGTCGTGCTAGGGCAAGTCCCGCGAGGGGCGTGGCCAGGCCTGAGAATGTGCAAAGGCAGGCTCTGGCCCGCCCCTTCAGGAGGCTTGCTACTCATGCTCTGAGTGCTTTGCTGCGTAGGCCTTGTGGTGAAGTTGAGCCAGACGAGCCTGAGGCAGGCGCTGGATGGAGGCAGAGGCGCGAGTGGAGAAGGTAGGCGCGAGCGGAGACGGTTGGGGTTGGGTGTGTGGTCCTACTTGCTCTGCAATCCCTTTTTTGCCTCTGCGTTCCATAGGACCAGCAAGGCATTCTCCCCCACTGCTAAGCATGCTGGGTGTACCCTGTGCTTATTACCCTGTTCCAGGTATAAACCACAGAGTTACCCTGGATCCCATTCCAGGGTACACTACCAGTGACCTAACATTCTATCACTGAGCCACTCCCCCTAACATTTCTACTACCTCCAATAGGGCCACAGTCTAGTAACTAAGCCTTTAACCATGGGCCCACGGAGATATTTAAAATCAATCCAGCCAAGTTTACTGGCTCTAATCGCAGCACTCAGGAGGCTAAGGCAGGAGGATTGCTACAAGTTCAAGACCAGTCTGCTACACAGTGAATTCCAGAACAGCCTGGGAACTTTTGTTTTTAACTTTTTATTTGTTTATTTTTATTTTATGTGTACGAGCGGTATACCTGCATATATGGAAGTGCACCTATGTCATGCAATGCCTTTGGAAGCCAGAAAAAGACCATCAGATACCCTGGAACAAGAGTTACAGATGGTTGTTCGCCATGTGGGTGCTGGGATTTGAACCCAGGTTCTCTGCAAGAGTAGCCAGTGTTCTTAGCCACTGAGCCATTTCTCAATCCCCTAAGACCCTATCTTAAAATAAATAAATAATAAATAAATAAGATTCAATCCAAACACAGTGGTTCTCTTGATGAGGGTTCTTACCATGCATTTGTTGTGTCTTCCAGTTTTCCTAAGCGCTATGACTGGACTGGGAAGAACTGGGTTTACTCGCACGATGGTGTGTCACTGCATGAGCTGCTGGCCAGGGAGCTGACTGAAGCCTTAAACACCAAATTGGACTTGTCTTACTTGGCCTGTTCCGGAAACGGCACTTGACGGCCTGACCAATTCAAAGACATTAAAGCTGTCAGGCCAAGACCCCAGCTTCCTTCTGCAGTGGAGCGTC